TCTGTGCCCCCTCCACTGAGCCGGGGGTTGCTGCAGGCACACAGGCCCTGGCCGCTGCTTTTCATCTGCCTTCAGCCACCTTGGCAGCTGGGTAGAGACGAGCCGCCCCGGGTGCCCCGGACAGGGAGGCATGTGCTCAGGGCCCTGCTCCGCTGCTAGGCCCCAGGCTGGGTGGTTTGGTTTGGGCAGGCTCAGGCTCTTGACTAGATATGGTTTGGGTATTTAAGCACCTGCTCACCTGAACAGCTTAAGACGGTTGTCACCTGTGTCTTTTCCTTACAATGTCAGCAAGGATGAATACACCTTTTTTGCATTCATATTATTTTCACATAGGCAGACTAGAAACTGGCCCGCTGTCCAGGCCAAAGTCTCCTCTGACCAAGCCTTGCTGCTCTGTCAGTAAAGCTCTTAAGGAAGCCCATTAGCACAGACTTGATTTCGTGACTGTCTTTATGAAGTAAAACCTCTCTCTCCTCGCATCTTTCAGCACTACACCTGGTTTTGGCATTTCCTGCCTGGTGTGGGGGGCTGGACCTGATGATCTTCCCAGGTCCGTTTTAGCCTTAACAGTCTCTGAATCTCTGAATTTGTAAGAACCGGCGGTCAGTTTCAAGGAATTCCAAAAAAGGAAACAAGCTGAAGTACCCAGAAGCAAGCAGAATGAGGATGTGAAACTGAGAAAGTGGCCTCCATGACCAACATCCCTCCACACCGTGTGGGTGTGTGAGTATGAATGTGTGTGTGCCCCACCACTAAATACAACTGGGACTGTAAGTAAAACTGGTCAGGAACCTCAGGTTAAAAGGTTCTTCAGTGGGAAATGTCAATTCATTGAGACAAAACCCTGGATGAAACTCATCCATTTCAACAAACATCTAAGAAACACAGGCAGGTTTCTGAGAAAACCCTGCCTAGGCAGCCTATCTTTTTTCCTGTTACGTCATTTGGAAAGTCTTAGTTTTAGTATCTGTGGCTGTGTGGCAGCTCTGTAGTGCTCACTGCCAATAAGTTGGGATCTGGCTTTCCAGGCTAACTTGCACGTAGCTAGCAAGGTGAAAGCTCAGAGCTCCGTTCCTAGCAGAAGCTCCGAAGATCTAGAGCAGGGAGCCACAGTTTGGGTTTTATAGCAGACTTGCAGCCTGAGCTCTCAGAGCTTCCAGGCTCTGCAGGCTTCCCCTGCTGGCTGAGGACTGGAGTTGTTCATTCTGAGAGAGCCGAGAGACTCTCCAAGGTCACAGTGGTTCCTCGGCACTGGGGCAGCATGCAAAGTTCATGGGAGTCAGGGCAGCAACATTTCAGTTTTTTTGGAGCAATATGTATTATAAGGATTTTCTTTCTGGGAAAGTTTGGAAATTATGAGTTGGGGGGGGGTGTTGTTATTTTTATTTTAGCCCTAAATGTCTTAGCTGCTCTTAGCAAAATGACTGTTTTATTGAGACACAAAGCCAACTGAAACTCAGAATTTTGATTTGATGGATAGGAATTCTGGCATTTCAAAAAGTGTTTTTGGTCTTAACCAGAGCAAAGACTAGAAAGATGGAGATTAAGACAAAAATGCCAATGAGGCATGGGCTTCTTAATGCCAAAGTCACTTTGGGAATCAGGACCAGGCTCCTAATACTTGGAGGTGGTTTTGAAAATGTTACCCAAGTGTTTTGATAATCTAAACTGCCTTTTGATGGCCCAAGCCATACATATATGTGGAATCCCTAAAACGGAGGATTTTTTTTAAAAATCTGTATCAAAGATGCTCTTTCATTTAGAAAAGATGGAGTTTAACAGTTCTGTAATTCTAATATTATAAAAGCCTACGTCTGTCTGTCTGTAACGCTTCATTCGCGCTCTGATTGGCTGACAGAAACAGCTAATCAGAGTGCAAAGAAGCGTTCTGACAGAAAGCAGCCCTCCCCCATGATGGTGAGGACACACGGGATGGAGCAGGGATGGGGGGCGAGGCCAGTTGTGCTGGTAGCGCAAGGGGGAGTGGGTGAGGGCGGGGGTGGGCCTGAGCTGGGGAAAAGCCAGCCTGCCGGCGGAAACAGCCAATCAGAGTGCTCCAAGCATGGGGGAGCACCCTCATTATTCTGAAGCCCTGCGGAGGGCCAGACAGTGGGTGGGGGAGCTGAGGCCAGCCCACCCCACTCCCTGCAAGAGGCGGAACAGCGGCAGCACAGGGCGTTAGGTGGCGGCACTCCATCTCAGCCCCCTTCCCTCCCTGCCCCCATCATTCTTGATGGGCAATTGGGTAGTTTCATAATAGCCGTCTAGAAAATTGTATTTTACTTGTAAAAAAGGAGCAATTAATTTAAGCCCTGAATCAATATTTGTTACCCTCAGTGATTCATTATGTAACAACTATTGATACCGTGGAGGTACACGGACCTTGACAAGAATTTTGAGTTTTGAAATTAAACGTTTTTTTTTCTTATTATGAGCTTTAAACTAAACACTTTCAGAGATAAATATTTTAAGTCAAGGTCATTGGAATGGTATCTGATTTTTTTAATATGAGAAGCAATTGTAATAGTCTTTTTTTGCAAAAAACCTAATAATTTTGTGTTTCCAAAATAACACAGAAGAGAAAGATAACTGAAAATCACATATATTTTAGGCATGTTTAGGGATGCATATTTTGAATGACTGATTTTAATTATTTTTATTGGAGCAATATTCCAGTCTATATTGGATCTCTGTATAAAACAGGAGATGGAATAATTTTACCTGTGGCCTTAGGACCAATAGAATTTCATACAGGCTTCCTCAGGAATGATTTAACCTCTCTCATCATCAGGATTTGAGATTTTCTCACCTCTTCTGGATTCTTTCAGCCAGATATCAGGGCCCTAATGACTCCATCTCCTGTTGGAGGAGGGACAATATTCCAAGAACCTTTTCCAAGCCCTGGTTGATTGACTTAATTTTTCATCCCCAGGGCTAGATTCTGTAAATTGTTGGAGTTTAGCAATCTTCCCTATCTTTTGCAAGAATGAGCCAAATTGCACAGTAATGGAGCTGTGCTCATTATGTCAGCAAAACATTTTGGCATTATTTTTTATTTCAACTAAATCCAGATTTTTAACTGGGACAGCAGAAGAAACCTCAAAAGTCTAAGTAATATATTGATTTTTGCTTGATTAACCTTCCTAAACAGAATATTGATAAATAACATTTAAAATGTATTTTTAATTCATATGCAGAATAAAACTGGACTCAAGAAGCTGTTCTAAATAAAATTCAATACCTATTTAAAGATAAGGAAATTCTTAAAACTGTTAACAGACACGTGGCAGATTCAAAATTTCCTCTTCACTCTTCAGGGAACATCAGTTCTTGATTAATGAAAAATATTGACGATATATTGCTCCCCACCAGGCAAATCAAAAGGGCAGGTTGACAAATTTATTTCTATGGTTCTCTTTGAACTGGTACTTCTCTTTGATCAGTTCTCATGACAGGTGCAAGCTCTGACACAAGTGTCTGCTAAGCATCAGAAATTGCATCCCCTGGACCAAACTGGAGATCACAAAAGAGTATGCAGTTTCTGACATTTTTCCTCTGGTCTATCAGAAACTGCATCCTCTGGATTGTGGGAATGAGAAATGGTGATGAAGAATTATTTTGATAAGGCTTCTTTTCATCCATCAGAATTTGCCCTCCCCTTGATCCAGGAGCAGGGAGATGATTTTTCTATATGGAAGCCAAAAGCTGCTAGGTAACTGCTATGAGACATTGCAACAATGTGTAAATCTAACAGGGAGACATTTTCTGAAGGAAAGATTCTGAAAAGGGGCCACATTTACTTGCTTTCTTCCTCCTCTAGATACAGTTACCTCAGCTGATGCAAGAGTTGAATTGTTCATTAGGTTTGCATCAATAATGCAATAAGGTCAATACAGCAAGGTTCTTGCATCATCTCAGGTCTCCAGCAGTGTTGGCACTGCAGTGTCATCATACTTCATCTCACTGTTTCCCTGGATGGCACACTGAACGTAGAACCAACAGGTTATGGTACTCAGGAGGAAAAGTCAACGTGTTTGAATGGCCTATGTATTGATTTTTACCAGCATTACATGTATCTAGCCTAGCTCTGTGTTTATCATTCCATCCATGACCAACTGGACCAGATTTTCTGGAAGATTTCCGAACTGCAGGGTTGTGTCCCTCAATGTCCTTGAGGCCTCACTGAAATAGAACTTTTGTCCCAGTTTTGGAAAATTGCTCCTAGATCAGTGTCAGACAGCTTCCTGCTGCGTCTGCTGACAGAGCACAGTATGATGCTGGGAACACCACAGGCTACCTCCTAAACTGGAAGCAGCATAGTTATATTTGTGTATTCCTGTGCCTGGCTAAATTAGCTCTGTTTCAGCAGGGCTAAATAGCTCAAATGCAGAGCCACACCCTAGTGACTACACCAGCTAGAACTGGAAGTGGAGTAGACTACTTCTGATTCTCAATGTGTTTGGAGCTTCCAGGACTATATCTAGAATTTTGCTTCTTGAAGGTTGTCTTTCCTGTATTCCTGGTCTCTGGAGAGCATAATCTTTACTTCCTCATGACCATGTTCCATATAAATCCCCACACCCCTGAGAAATATTCTTATTCAAAAATAATGACATGGAAATTATGGGGTGGATGAAGCCTTGTAATCCTTACTGCAAAGGAAATTTTATGTTCTTCTGAGGCTGTGGGGAATTCATCTTAGATCAGGGACTTTATTGAAACACCCCTAAAGTCCGCACTTCACATCCCCCTTCTGGACCTTTTGATAGTACTAGCCTAACCATTGTCCCTGTAGTTCTGGTAGTACTCACCTAACCATTATCCTGGATTCTGCCCACCAAGCAATTCCA